CCGGGCAACTTTATTTATTAACATACAATCAAAATCACATTTCAGTACAAATAAAATACCACCATAGGTGGTGGTGGTGGTGGTGATGGTGTTGTTGTTATTGTTGTTGGTGGTGGTGGTGATGGTGTTGGTGACAGTGGTGGTGGTTATGGTGGTGGTAGTAATGGTGTTGTTGTTGGTGGTGGTGGTGATGATGGTGGTGGTGGTGGTGGTGGTAGTTGTGGTGGTGGTGACAACAGTGGCAGTTAGACCTCCAGCTGGTTTATTATCTTATTCTGCAAAGACAGTTTCTGTATCTACATCAACTTCTGCTCTTGTCTATCAGGCCTCTCTGAAACCTCTTGAACTCTGCTGTGGCCTTTTAAACCCTTTATAGCTCCTCTGTAACCCCACCCCATCCCCCAGACACACATACAATTAAAAGTGGGTTAAATATTAAAAACGACTAGAATGAACGGGCCTGTGCTGGTGTTAGCCAGGGCTACCAAGGACACTGGGAATACTAGACTGAGGTCCGTCCACTAACCTGCCATAACGTACTTTACTGTTACTCAACAAATTTTGATGTCATAGAAAGGCACACATGTGTTCATCTGTTCTTGCAAAGCTTTCTCATGACATGTACGCTCCACCCTCCATTTCTGTCCTTCGCCTTTACTGTTTTCCATTTCTTCATCCTCTGTGGTATAAACTGACCAGTCCCTTCTTTCTTTTCCAAGGCGCTGATTCCCTTGTTGGCTGTGTCTAGATTTAATCTGGTCACTGAGATTCTGAGCATTGTGATGGCTTTCAGTGGAGACAGGTTCTCTTCAGCAGTCCTCTTCAGATGCAATGGGCACCTGCCCCCCATGGAGAGCAAGCTGATATGCACCACCAGGAGATAAAGCCTGAGAGAATGTTTCCTGGAGCAGGTAAAGAGCTACTGCACAGGCTTCGCAAAGCTGGGCTCTGTGAACTAAGACAGCAGGTCTGACGAAGGAAACTAAGACCTGCTCTACAGTGAAAACTGATCATCATCTAGAGAGATGGCAGCATTTCCCAACATGTGCAATTTGAGGTCATGGGCCACATGTAAAAACAAAACAAAACAAAAACAACAGAATGCTTCTTGCAGATAACTCATTCTAAGTCACCTAAAAAGCTGAGTCAGAGTTACTTGTCAATTTTGGTTGGTTCCTTATACGATTCTGGTTGCGGGGGTGGCAGAGGATTATTTTAATGAACGCTGATTTTGAAGGAGCATTAACCGTCATATGAAGGGGCAGCTGGGTGTGTTAGAAGCTATCCTGCCCTCCTGCCTACGGACCCTCACTCACTCACGTTTTTATCTGCAGGAGTAAGTTATTCATCAGTTTGCTCATGGCTGGGCCTGGCTGGGCGGTGGTGTCTACATGTACAAAAGAGCCGTAGAGTCATCCTGCCTCTGCATTTTCACTCGAAACAGACTCACCCAGGGCAAGACTCAGCCTGAGATCCACTGTCGCACAGCATGGAGCAACTTAGAGCTTGGCAGTGACTTAGCCACCAGCCAGGTTTCCACACAATCACTACCCAGAGGATGGGAGAAGGGACGTGGGTGGCAAAGAGCTACGTAGACCCCCTGAGGAGATCTAATCCAAGAGTCAGCTCCCCTGGGCTGGCACTGCTGGCTGCTCTTAGTGTTGGCAGGGTCACAGTGGGTGGTGATAATGGCTTTGACCCAAGAAACCAGAGGAAGACTGGTGGACGCCAGAGTGAATTCTCCATTTCCCCCCTGGGGACTTTTGTAGTCTTTCTATGGTGCACCCTGCTGACAAACAAAACACCCAGGAAACAAACCAGCAAGATCATCTGGGATATGTACTCTAGAGAGTCCTGGCCCAGGAGTCTAAAGCCTACTAAAGGGTATGTTTGGGGCAGGCAACATGGATGACCAAGTGCATTCCTGCTCCTGTGGCTACTCTATATACCCTCTTGTGTGTGCAGGTACCTCTGGTCTCTACAATGACAATGGGGAGAAGCATGAACAGACCCCTCCTGCCATGGCTATTAGCTGCTTGCTTTTATCACTAAGTTTAGGGGCCACACAGCTTGGCAGGGAATCTCCACTTCTGCTGTAGACATCCTTTGACACAGGGGACACAGTAGTGATGGTGCCCAAGTTGTTTTTCAAGACCTCCGAGGCTGCCTTTGTCTATCAAACTGGTTGCCACCACTGACAATTCACTGGGGTATGGGTAGATGTCCCGTGGGTGACTTTGGATGCAGGAGGTCTTCACTGCTGGATCTCTGCAATGCCTCCATTTTCTGAAAATGCTTCCTGTGAAGAGCCACGCAGTTTGAGTTACATGTGCAGACCAACAATTGTGTCACTGCCCCCCCCCCCCGACCCCCCGACCTTCATCTTTCTTCATGCCTGAGATCCCCTTTCTTCTTGCTGTGCTAGGGATTGAACCCAGAACCTTGTACATACATGGTAGGCACGTGCTATACCAGTAAACTACAACCCCCCAGATTCTGTGTTTGGAGACAGGGTTTCACTATCTAGCTCAGACTGGGCTCAAACGTATGATCCTCTGCCTCAGCCTTCACCTCAGCCTCCCAAGTGTCGAGATTATAGGTATGTACCACCACAGCTAGCCACCTGTTTTTTAATCTTGTAATACTCCCAACCCTGAACTTTGGGAGGCATATTTGGAGTTTGTCCTGTCTCTACACACCTGAAGCTTATTGATGTAAGTTATTAGAGAGCAGCACAATGGGAAACGCTCCCCCCCCCACCCCGGCCCGGGGGTGTCCTTCAGTAAGAATAGTTTTGTTCATTAGAGAACATTGCAGGAAAATGCACTTAAAATAAAATGTACCATTTTATTGAGCTCGGTTAGTGTCACTAAGTGTTTTCACAATTGCACTTAATGCTCTTGGCACAACACCACTTCTGAACTTATTCATCTTAATGTTGAAATAAAAACTCTGAATTTATTTACCAGAACCTAGCACATCACCGATTTATGTAAATTGTTTTCTAGTTCTTTATACAGGTGTGTGTTATAAATTAAAGCACCATCTATAATCCTAATAGCACCCTTTTCACCAAGATGGCTTTGAATGCTTAGGACATCCCTGTCCTTCTCAAAGGTGAAACCAAAAGGTCAAGAAGATCAGGGAGACAGTCATTAGAGGTTTCTGCAGTCCCAGTAAAGAAGACCTGTACGTCACCTACATTCTGGCAGCCACAGACCTCGTGGTTCTGGACAGATCCTGTATAAATTTGGAATCGGGTCCCTAGGAGAAAGACATCTGGCCCTACTTTGTTGTCAAGCTCTCCTAATCACCAAATCTACCACGAGGAAGACGGATGACATCACACTGCTGTTTGATGTGGAGGTCAAGGCCAACAGGCGCTAGATGAAACAGGCTGGGAGGAAGCTCTGTGGCACAGAAGCAACAGCCAGCACCCTGGGGAGCCTGGTACACAGCAAAAGGCAGATCCAGCCCCATCAGCTCCTGGTAAGTTGTGATGTTACCATCAAGATTAGCGTCATCTAAACAAACTTCAACTGGATAAGTCTAAATGTGGTGTGTGTGTGTGTGTGTGTGTGTGTGTGTGTGTGTGTGTGTGTGTACTAAGCCTGGGTTCAGTTCCCAGCACCACATAAGCTGGGCAAGCTGGGACCTCCCTGTTATCTCAAGATTCTGGAGATGGAAGTACAAGTAGTAGGGTGTTTAGGAGGATAAACAGTTGAAAGGCGTTTTCAGCTCCATAGAGAATTTGAGGCCAGCCTTGGATACAGGAGACCTGGAGAGAGAGAGAGAAGAGAGACAGAAGATGGTCATAGAAGGTCTAATCCTAAGTGGACATCTTTAAACATAAACTAAAATACTGACCACACAGTGAACACTGCGGTAGTTTGGATCAGGAAAGTCCTGAATGTTTATGGCTTGTTCCTCTGCTCGTGGCTCTTGGGAAACGGTGGAACCTGCTTACAAGAAGTCAGAACATGACCTTGAAGGGGACACTGGTACCCAGACACCCTTCTTTCTCTCTTTCCTCCTCTCAGTTTTAACTCCTTTCCGCCTCTCTTTCCCTTTCTGCTTTCTGACCACCGTGAGGTGAGCAGCTTGCTCTGCCACACACTCTTACCATAATAGACTGCTTTGCCCCCGTCTCAAAAATCATGGGACCAGTCTACTATGAGCTGACACCTCTAGAACCCTGACTAAAATAAACCATTCCTCTTCACATTGATTATCTCGAGTATTGTATTAGAGTGATAGATATTAGACAAGTCATAATAATTCAAAGTAGAAATGATTCCTCTCCCATAATCCTCATTTCTATGATGGATGCAGCACAATCAGGCTGTAGTTGAATTATTTCTACTCTCTTTCCCATTTCCCCTTTGATCTTCTCCAGGATACGTGGCAAGCACAATTGTTTGCCTAAAAGAGTGACCAGCATCTCCATGCGAGAAGGATCGGAGTCCTTGTTTATCCAGCTGTCATTGGCTTGATGCAGTCATTTTTAAAAATACTGGTACTAGACTTGGAGGTATGAAGAGTCACTCCAGAGAACTGAGCTCTGTTTGACTTGGTCTGTCTTTGTTACTCTGTGTAGTGACAACCTGTTTCCCCTAATCACTGAGTTATTCAAGTTAGTAATATTCAATATTCAAGTTTCCTTGGTTCATTGACAAGAGAAATGGCCAATAGTCAGTTTCCTTGGAACTATTGATGGATTCGCCAGTGGAAGCATTCTTCTCTTAGAAGTAGAGACTACCTGTAAGTCAGCACAGATGTTAAAAGTAGCAAAATTCAGCACTACAGAGTCCAGAATGACACGAGTTGAGTTACTGTGTGCTCTCCTGCCTCACCCCTGCATCCGTTGGAGGGGCTTATCTCAGTTGCTGGTTCAGAGCATAAACCTGTAAAACAGCAGGTGAGGAGTCTTCAGTCAAGAGAAAGAGCCTTGTCTTCTCAGATCTGAGAGAGGGGAGAGAGAGAGAGAGAAATGGAGGGAGGGAGAGAGGGAGGGAGGGAGGGAGAGAGGGAGGGTGTGAGTGAATTTCCACTGTGCCTCCTGGCCTGCTGCCCCCCTTGTCTGCATGGCATGTCTCCCTCACCTGCCATGAGGCACCTTGGCGCCAAGGCCACCAAAAGCCTTTTACAACATGGTGGTTGGTTTTTGTTGTTGTTTTTCCTTCTTTGTGTGAGGTTCTTTGAAGGTAGTGAGAAGCATCAACCATCCTTGTGATTTTTGGATCATCGTTCCTAGCATAAATGTTAACTGGAGCAGATGCTGGATGTCCCAAAGCCTTGTCTTCAAGAAGCACTTCATTTTAAGGAACTATGACCCTAATTTAGATACCCATTGTTCACTACATACCATAGACTTTCTGTATACCATTTTTTCACTTGCTAATAGGCTGTCACTATATTCCAGCCTGATGACTGATTTTATTTATACTTCTACATTTATATATTCCAGACTTGATGACCAACTTTAGTTTCCATCTCATGTGTGTGTAGGGGGCAAGTGCATATGCCGTAGAGGTCAGAGGTCAGCCTGCACTGCCATTCCTGCAGAGTCATCTACCCTAAGACAGTCTAGCTGATTAGGCTGGCTGGCTGTCCGAATTAGGAGTTCTCCCTTCTCTCCTTTCTCAGGGATTAGCACACATACCTGGCTTTTATGAGGATGCTCGGGCTAGAATTCGGGTTCTTATGCTTGCATCAGAAGTACTCTACAAGCTGAGATCTCTTCCCAGATCTTTAGAGTGGATCTCAAGAGTCCTTCTTTGGTTTCATTCTGATGTTCGGTACCATCAGTCAGTACTCAGTCCAGGAAAATCTGACTCTATATTTCAAACCATTCACATGCACTGAGTGAGACTGAGGCCTCAGGCTTCTCACACACTCCAGCAGGAGCTGCCAGGACAGTGTGTGAAGACGCCCTAGGAAGTAGGAACACACTGGGTCCTCAGTTAGTGGAGTGGGTGGCCTGTCACAGGTTCTGTTGGACACATGGAGCTGAGATGACTGCCTCTGTGCTTTGACTTGAGGAAACAGGTCCTCCTTCTGGCTTTGTCTCCTACACTAAGAGCTGAGAGCTTCTTCATGCCAACTATTCTGTTCATCTGTCTCTTCACGCCCTTGGTATTTAACACATGTTTATGCGTCTGTATGTAAATCGATGTGGAGGCCAGAGACGGGGTCAGGTGCGTCTCTCAGTCACTTACTTTCCTTGCTATTTTTCGGGGATAGGGTCTCTCACTGAACCTGGATCTCACTGATTCCTCTACACTAGTTAACCAGCAAGCCCCATGGATCCTCCTGGCTCCATCTCCCAGTGCTGAGATGACTGACATGCACTGCCCGCACATTGCTAACACATAGATGCTGGGCATCAAACTCAGGTCACATGTATTTTACGGACTGGGCCACCCTTCTGAGCCTTAACGTGATTGCTTTTCCCATAAACTGTCTTTTCCTCGCAATGGAATTTCAAACTCTTAAGACAAGAAGTATGTATTACTTCGTTTCCTAGACCTTAAACCTTAAAGGGCAGTGATGCCTGAAGGGATAACAAAAAAGGTAAATCATTCACCTCATTGGCTAGCCCATTTGGCCTTAAAGAACTGAAATTCAATTCAAAATAACCAAAGGAGCAGAAGTCACGCAATAGTGAATGATGCAATAGTGAATGATTAGCAGAGATTAGCTGTGATGGGATTACTGAAGTCCCATGATAAGGGTTTTCTGTTAGGGAAGGAAGAGCCTCAGTCCTTGCCTGCTTTCTATGTTTACCGATGATAATGATTGTTGTTCAGCTGGTCCTCCAGTGCTCTGCTTGCATTTGGTAAGTCAACACATGAACAGTGTCTATTGCTCAACTTCTAAAAGGGCAAAAGCAATACAAGTGTTTAATATTAACCTTTGAGATAGGGTGTTAGCACTCCAGTGCCCATTAGTCTTAAAAGTACAGATTAATGATTTAGGTGTTTAGAAGAAAACAGATTTTTAAGTTCAAGTGTCAGCATATTTTATTCTCAAACCAATGCAATGAAGCAGATCTGGGTTTGTGTCTGAAGATGAGAGAAAACTGAATTAGCTCAGCCAAGGTCAAGCTAACAGTGTCCTCCAAGCCAGAGCATCTCTGAGCTCCCAGGATTCTCCTGCTCTTGATTTTTGCACAGCTGGGCAGTGGTGGAGGCTTAGAGAACACTGCGTGAGAGTCATCATGATACTGCTGGAATGTTTGGTGTGTTTTGCTAAGTAAATTCAGTCTCAGGCACTTCCTGGGGTGGTGGATGAGAGTGGGTGAGGTTTCTGCTTCTGGAGCTATAAGGAAGGGCAATCAGCCCACCAAAGCAACCTTTTTACATGTTTTACTTTTGCAATATTGGGGATTAAACCCAAGACCTTGTGCATTTGAGGCAAACATTCTATTATCAAGTCCATGAACTGATTCTACAGCCCATGAGCTAATTTTTGTCAGGTCTTAGGTTGTTGCTTGAGTTGTAGTATGGGTGCATGTTTGTAGAGATTGTGAATGCTTGTTGGGGATTACTTCACTGAGAATAGGGCTGATAATGTCTGGCAGCCTTTCATCAAAGCATTGGTCTTAAGAGAAAAACCAAACCAAATTAAGCCTAAGCAAAACTGTCTAGCCAGGTCAGTCAGTGAATGTCACCAACACAATGTAGGTTTATTCACAGTGTCATCTGGATCACAGGGAGTGGGGTCACGGTTTCCTTGTATCCTTCACACTGAACACAGCACATCAAGAGAGAAGGACATGGTGAGAGAGGATGATATAAGGACTTGCAAAGGGAATAAACAGACCACGTGCTCCAGGAACTTAAGGAGAAAGGGAGAAGAATGGGTCAAAGTCTCCTACTTCAAGACCTAGGCTAGAGAGAAAAAGAGAAAAGTCTTGTCAAGGATGGCCCAGGGGCTGTTGCAACAAGTCAATCAATAGAGTGCTTGTCTAACCTGCATGGAGTCCTGGGTCCCATCCATAAACTGGGCCTGGTGGCGCATGCCTGTAATACCAGCACTCAGGAATAGAGGCAGGAGGTTCAGACACTGAAGGTCATCCTCTACACACTGAGTTCAAGGCCTGCCTGGTTCAAAAGTAGAGGAGGAGGAGGAGGAGGAGGAGGAGGAGAAAAAAGCAAATTCAGATCTCTTCTCTGTTTATATACTGGATTACTTCATTATTGTTGAATTACAAATTACTTGTTTGGATCCTAATCTCTTATGCACACATGGTTTGTAAATATTTTCTCTCATTCTGTGGGTTGTCTTTTCACTCTGAGTGTATTCATGGAAGAGTAAGTTTTTTGGTTTTTTTTTTTTTTTTTTTTTTTGGTTTTAATTTACTTATTTATTATGTATACAGTGCACATATCCCTGCAGGCCAAAAGAGGGCACAAGATCGCATTACAGATGGTTGT